CCCCAGGCTTCCTGGAATCAGCGCTCATCAGTTTCAGCAGCAGCTGACTTGGGGATGCCTGGGGTTCTTAAGTTGAATCTGTATGTAAGTCAGAACTGGCGGTCAGTTTCAGCAGTGTCTGAATCTGGACGCCAGTTCTGACTTACATACAGATTCAACTTAAGAACAAACCTACAGTCCCTATCTTGTACGTAACCCGGGGACTGCCTGTAGTTTTCCAATGGGCATTACTTTGCATTAATTAAAGTATTGTTTTCCAATGGGCATTACTTTGCATTAATTAACATTAAAATTCATTTGCCGTTTTGTTGCCTAATCATGTAGTTTGGTGAGATCCTTTTGGAACTCTTTACAGTCTGCTTTGGTCTTCACTATCTCGAGCAGTTTAATATCTGCAAAGCATATGATGTGAAGTTCATAAAAATTGTGAAGTGAGGGTCATGCTGACTTTACACAACATTGACTATGAGAGCTGTGCACTTCCTCTGCATCTAAACCAGGCACTGGTTCAATTGGCACACCCCGCAAATTCTCGCTACGCAAGCTCAGTGAGCAAACCTGCTCATTCCGGGAAATTATTTTGGTTATAATAGGCTTGCAGCCTGCTGAGATGAACAGGGACCGCTTATGCGTCCCATTCTCTAGCCTCGGTTGTCCATTGCTGCTATGGAATAAAGGCACGACCACCTAGACCGGGGTCCCCAACCTTTCAGGGCTGCCTGGCGTCTGGGGCCGCTCACGTGCCGGGCATCCAGGGTCAGGGCCGCACATGTGCCATGCGCCCGGGGTAGGGGTCACCCATGTGCTGTGCGCCAGGGGCCAGCACCGCACGTGCACTTTGCAGGGGGGGTGGGGCCGTCCCAGATGATTCAGCGGGCACCATGGCCCCTGCGGGCACCATGTTGGGGACTACTGACCTAGACAATGAAAGTAAATTACAGCTTGAAATAAGATTTATGTGAATGGCTCTCATTTTAAGACAGCAGGAGTTGGTTCAATTGACATTTTTTTCTGCCTAAACACTTGGACCTAGTTTCTACTAAATCCACGAACTTCAGAAATGTTTTCATTGTTTTGACTAACTGTCTACTGACTCCATCTTGATCTAAAATAACTTCACATCCTACTGAAAGTCTTCGCCAAGGCGTCCTTCACATCTTTGTTCCTTAGCGTGTAAATGAAAGGGTTCACCAGCGGGGTGACCACAGTGCTGAAGATGTTGATGGTTTTATTCAAATCCATTGAGTTGTGTTTCGAAGGCTTGACAAACAGAAAAATGAGGGAGCCGTACCAGAGCGTCACGACAGCGAGGTGGGCCGAGCAGGTGGAAAAGGCCTTTTGCCGGCCTTGGGCTGAGGGGATTCTCAAAATGGTAGAGATGATGTAAATGTAGGAGACCAGCGTTATCGCGCATGAGACCAAGACAACAATGATTGATAGAAGGAAGGTTACAAGCTCAACGAGGTGTGTGTCAGTGCAGGAGAGGGCGATCCAGGAGTCTATGTCACAAAGGAAATGATCGATGACGTTAGGACCACAGAAAGACAACCTGGATACTAGAGCCGCCAGCACGGAGATAGCCAGGAAACCGCCCAACCAAGACACAAGGACCAACTGCACGGAGAAGGTGCTATTCATGAGGGTGCTGTAACGCAAGGGGTAGCAAATGGCCAGGTAGCGGTCGTAGGCCATGACGGCCAGGAGGAAACATTCTGTTGAGCCAGTGGCAAGGGAAAAAATCAGTTGTATCTTGCAGGCAGTGAACGAGATGGTTTGGCTTGTGCCCAGCATGACGCCGATGGCCTTGGGGATGCAGGCAGTGGTGTACCAGATCTCCAGGAAGGAGAGATTGCAGAGGAAGAAGTACATGGGGGTGTGGAGCTGTGGGTGGGTCCCCACCAAGGCGATGATGGACACGTTCCCTAGGATCGTGAGGCCGTAGAGCACAGAAAACAGCTCTGCAAGGGACATCCGGAAAGACCAAGATCCGGGAAAGCCCAGGAGGATGAACTCCTGCACGCCGGTTTGGTTCTCTCTTTCTCCACGTGCCATGAGGGCCATCTGCCAAGAGACAAAAGAACGTGGGAGGAAGGGCACTGAAAAATGCCGAACGCCTTGTGAGAGGCTGCTCAAACCTCTGTGTTCAGGCGCCAGGCTGTGATACTTTAACTGGCTGTCATGCCTGTCAAAGGCCTTGGCTAGATGGACAATTGGTGCGTGATGGGGCCACTACACAGTTTTAGTTTGGAATAGAGCAGACAGAGGGGACATGATAGCAGCTTTCAAAGTACCTAAAAGGGTGTTACAAGGAGGAGGGAGACAAACTGTTCTTGGCCTCTGAGGACAGGACAAGAAGCAATGGGCTTAAACTGCAGCAAGGGAGGTTTAGGTTGGACATTAGGAAAAACTTCCTACCTGTCAGGGTGGTGAAACACTGGAATAAATTGCCCAGGGAGGTTGTGGAATCTCCATCTCTGGAGACATTGAAGAGCAGGTTGGACAGACACTTGTCAGGGATGAACTAGATGATGCTTGGTCCTGCTGTAAGGGCAGGGGACTGGACTTGATGGCCTTGTGAGGTCCCTGCCAGTGCTAGTGCTCTAGGATTCTGTGTCTGTGTAAACTCAACCTACGTGTGGTGCAGTTTAAGAGCAGCCCAAGTGTAGGCTGTAGATATAAGAGATCTTCTCCCCTGGTGACCACTAACTTCGCCATCTAAACTACTCTCAGGCTCTTACGAACCTGAACATCAAAACAGCACCAGCTCGTCTGGAACACAAATACTCTTGGAAGCCTTCCACTGCATCAGGAGAAGCAGCATCGTCCCTGTAAGATTTGACTGTTAATGTGGTGGATGCATTCAACATTGATCTTGGTGCCAATTCCCTGCCCCTAGGCACTGATCAAAATTAAGCCTATCTCTCTGTCTGTCCCCACACATCCTGGCTACGTCTAGACTGGCATGATTTTCCGTAAATGCTTTTAACGGAAAAGTTTTTCTGTTAAAAGCATTTGCAGAAAAGAGTGTCTAGATTGGCATGGATGCTTTTCCGCAAAAGCACTTTTTGTGGAAAAGCGTCCGTGCCAATCTAGACGCGGTTTTGTGCAAGAAAGCCCCGATCGTCATGTTCGCCATCGGGGCTTTTTTGCAAAAACAATACCGTGTTGTCTACACTGGCCCTCTTGCGCAAAAGCATTTGCACAAAAGGGCTTTTGCCCAAACGGAAGCAGCATAGCATTTCCACAAGAACATTGACAATCTTACATGAGATCGTCCGTGTTCTTGCAGAAATTCAAGCGGCCAGTGTAGACAGCCAGTCTAGACGCAGCCCCTGTCTGTCTGTCTCTCCTTACATACCCGGTCGCTCTGTCTGTCCCCACACATCCTGTCTGTCTTTCTGTCTATCCCTACCTACCCGGTCGGTCTCTCTGTCTATCCCTACACACCCCGTCTCTGTCTGTCTGTCTGTCTGTCCCTACCCACCCAGTCTGTCTGTCTGTCCTCATACACCCCATCTGTCAGATAGATAGATAGAATGCCTATCTATCTTTCCTTCCTTCCTTCCTTCCTTCCTTCCTTCCTTCCTTCCTTCCTTGTTTTCTTATTTCCCTCTCTTAAGTTAGTATACCAGGATATTGCAGATATTAATGCTTTAGAGGGCTCTGAAAGATTTCCATCAACACATTTTTTTTTCCAAAATGGAAACTATCTTTACGATGAAACTGAGATGTTTGAGAGAGAGAGAATGAACACTGGGATTTTCATGAAGTATAAAGGACAGAAGGCTTTAGCTTAAACCTGACTTTTGGTTAATGAAAACTCATTAGATATCTGTTTCAGGTTTTTTTGGGAGGGTTTGGGGAAAAAAAACCTGACAAAGTGAAAAGAAAAACATTGACAAAAACAGATCTGTTTTTTTCATTTTTGTTAACATTCTTGATGTTAAGATTAAGTTCCCCCGCTGTCTTTGTTAGTTCTACAGTTTACAAAAATAGAATTTACTTTTGTTCATTCTAGACTTTATTATACTGTATTTACAATCCAAAGAAGATATACTCATCTTGCTGGAGGGGTGTGTTGACCTCCTTAGTGAGGCAAACTTTTGGAAAAGCAATTTCACATGGCAAAGAGGCATACTTCTTTTTCAGTGTAGTTACTTTTAATGACAAGCCCGGGTTAAGTTGTAGCTGACTAATGTATCTCACTTACCATGTCTTCTGATAGACGCTGTCACCATGAACTCCTTTCATTCCCATTCTTTTTCTGTGGAGGTGATGGGCAATAGCATGGGAGCTGAAAACCAGGGCATCCGATCACAAATAGCGGACTGTTTCACACCTGGTTCACATGTACGTCATGGCCATTTGACACCATGGTCTGATGGTAAAGGTGACTTAAAATGTTCATAATCAGTACAGTTCACTGCACTTTTATGCTCCCTCTCCTGCCAGACACTGGTGCAGAATTTCGTGAGCATAAATGAGAACCTGCCTCTTCAAAATCAAAAGGTTTTGACATTGGGAGGAAACTCTTTCGATCGCCCTTCACTTTTCCTCCGACTAATGTGTTACAGAAACAGAGCTCACATAGGCATCATGGGGGTATTTGTATTTTCTTCCTCCTCATGCCTCCAGCACCCAGGAGATGTGCACACTTAACTGAAATTCACAGACTCCCTTAGGACGTGTAACAGACTCTGCGGAGCCAGGATGGTCTTATGGGGGAAGTCCTGTACCAGCAGTCTGGAAAACAACAATCTGTCCCCCCACCTTTGCTGAACATTTGCCAAACAATGGAGATTTGGTGATGTTCCCTAAGAGTTTCCAACACCACCACAGCGGCAAGCAGTAAAACCATGGCAAATGTCAACATTGGACCCCTTCCGCTTGTTCAACACTGTTGCACAGAGAAAACCCAACGGTGAATTTTCTGGGGCCTACAACACCAAGCAAATCCACGTCGTGCACTTGACACAACTTACTGGCATCGAATCAGTTCCCCATTGCAAAGCAAATTTACCTGGCATTGCTCGGGTCACTACAGAGGGGTTCGGTGCTGGGGGCGGGAGGGCGAGTCTCTGGGGGATGGTGTCCTGAGGAGAGTGTTCTACTAGTCCCAGTTTTGCCAAACCCGTGGTACAGGAAGGGATGGAGAGGTGAGTGTGGAATTTAATCTCCCTCCCCTAAGTTTCCTCAGCTGAATACCAAAATGAGATGCCTTCCAAATCAGGGCACCGACCAAAAACTGGTCATAGAACGCCACATCAGTGAAGTTCCACGGGTCTGCAAAACCAAGGGAATATGCCTCATATTTTTGACCCCATATATGGGCACCTAATTAATTCCCCATTTCGGTGTACAGCCTCTCCCCGACTTACGAACGAGTTAGTGACCAAACACTTGGCTGTAACTCGATCTGTTCGTAACTCGGACCCCATTGAGTTACATAGCGACCCTGCTGTTCATAAGCGTGGGTCGCATTCGTAACTCGGGGACCGCTTTTATGACCGCTCCATGAGAGCTTTGGTCGTAAATGCGAATGGTCATAACTTGACCGTTCGCAACTCGGGGACCGGGACAGAGGGACACAAGATGGCTGCTGTGGGCAGACAGGACACTGGGCTAGACGGACCTTTGGTCTGACCCAGCCTGTCCGTTCTGATGTTCTTATCTTCTACATCAAATGTAAAAGGGAGGAATTTGATCTTGGAGGGACGTCTCTGACACGCAGGGTAAAATAATCAAAAAGTCTCAGGGCCAGATTGTAAAGATATTGAGGTTCCCAAACACCATTGAACTCAATACGAGTCAGGTGTCTAACCTGCTGAATGGTTTTTTGAATCCCACAAGTCATCTGCCTTGAAAGCCTCTTCCCCCCTTTTGCTATTTATTTAGAAACTGGACCTGTAACAATTCTAGTCATCTGAAGAAGTGGGTTGTGCCCACAAAAGCTCACAATTCCATCTACACGTTTTGTTCGTCTCTCAGGTGCTGCAAGACTATTTATTATGGTTTAAGTTTTTCCAATTCCGGACTAACATGGCTCCCCCCTGCAGCTGGGG